TGTAGCAAGAGTTCCAGCTAAACCTTGTCCGGCAAAATTAATCTTGGAGGAATAAAATTGCCCTTTTTGATCAGGCATCTGCTTGGAATATTGCTCCCGCATTTGAACTTCAAAAGGAGGCTTGAGTCCTGTCAATGAGGTCGCATTAATATCCTCAATGCTTTTAGGATTTTGCTCAGATAATCCATAAAGAGGTTTCCTTTTGGTGTCAAAGGCGATAGAAAAAGTTGGACTATTTGAATCCATTATTCCGACTTCTTTCTGAATTCCCTTGCAAATAACAGTTTCAACTTCCAAAGGATCTATAACAAGAGAAAGATGCATAGGTTCTTCAGATGACATTAGCTGGACTTGCTCAGGTTCTGCATGAGCCTCCTGAACGAGCTCTTCTGTTTCCTTTAGAGCTTGTGACACATAATTAGGCAATTTTGAAACATTTGCTTCTTTTTCTATTAATATTTCTTTTTCCTTAATTATGGCCGATTCACACTTAGTAGGAAGTTGAGACTCAATTGATTTATCGTCTTTGGTTTCCTGAATTTGAGAGCAGGATATGAAATACGCTTGTTCCATTTCATCTTCCTTGTCTGCAATAAAAATTTCTTGTTCAACTTCAGAATTCTCTTTTCTATCGAAATTTTCTGGATTTTCTGTGCTCATCGTTTCGTCCTCGAGCATCTTAAATTCAAAATTTACGCCATTGGTTTCTTGAGTGGGCCTATCATCTCTAGTGCTGAAGCTTATTTTATCCTCAGAATCAAGTTTTGTAGAATCAATACGACCATATCCAAAATCTAGATGTTCATTCATCATATTCGGTGAGCTATTGGATGACTTTAGGCTGCTTAGGTGAACCTCCATGATTGGAATACTTTCTTCTATGACCGATGATATTTCACTCCTCTGGGAGGGACGAGCCAAAATGACGAAAGTATCGTCTTTAGTATCAGGAGCCTTTACAGGATGCGCATAAGCGTAAGCGTCTGAATGTGCCTTTATAATGTCAGAGTCATGCCTCAACATTCCTTCATAGCCAGTGGCGGTCTTACTATGTTCTAAAATAAGATTGAAAAACAAAATTATTATATAGAACTTTATTAAGACACGGAAATATATTCGATTTTTAACTAATTAAGAATAGATAAGAGCTGCATTTACCACAGCTCGCATAAGGTGATGAGGGACTGATAGTTGAGGTATCTAATATTGATGCATGCTGGCATCACAAGGCCGTTTAATTACGTTTAGCTTTGGCCAAAAAACATATTCTTAGAAGTTGTTTGACTTTATTTTCGTAACTTGGTCATATTAACAGGAAGACCTAGAAGAACATACCCTTATCTGGAGTCTATAGCATGCGTAATAATTTCCAGAGCCGGATCGTGGACTTGTTAAATTGCCAGACGTTTCGCCGGAACCGTAATCGGCATCGTCAGTAAGCTTTGCTATTGTTAACAACAAATTACATCTCGTCAATTAGGTAATTAAAGTCGACCCTTCGGCTAAACATATTCTTATCTAAAGTTTGATCGCAGTTTCGATATCATCTAATTTTCTTTAGAACTTTAAAATATACTCTAACCTGGGTCATGTAAGTGTCAGTGGGACACAGGTCAGATATAAATTTCAAGGCAAGACAGTCCTTCTCCACATTAGGA